TACAAGAATTAAGCTTTACCAGAATTTAGCAAAATAACTGATTGGTATTGAAGAAATTATAATCTCAGAGACAAATTTAAACCATAATTTTTGAATTACTGGCAAATGAAATTTAAAAAGTGAATGTCACATTGAAGGAAATATTTCAAAATGTGATTCTAAAAGTGTTATCTTTCTTGATATAGCTGGCTAAACTCAGACTAGGAAAAGTGAAAGTATACATTTTTCCATTTTTCTGAGTGGGTAATGCTTAAATCTATTTTTCCAGGGATCGTTTTAAGCCATTATTTTTTTTTCTTTTCTTTTCTTTTTTTTTATGGAACACTTCTTGCTGATGTTCTCTGTATTGTTCCAATTTTAGTATATGTGCTGCCAAAGCGAGCACTGTTTTAAGCCATTATGAGAGCCACTGTAAGATCCTGTTGAAGCAGGTGCATGTAAAAGAAAAAAAAACTAATAAAGCCTCATGACCTCATAGCCATTTTAATACACAGTAAATGACAGCTGACCATATTAAATAATAATGGAGGCTTTTCAATTATAGTTTTATGTTGTTGCTTGTTGTTATATAAGGTAGTCTCAGAACTGAACCAGAGGTGACCCTCCAGTGAGTTTTCAGAGGAGATAAGATTTCCCATCCTTCTCTCACAGAGCAGCTGGTGGCCTTGAACTGAGTCCCTTCAGGATTGCAGTGCTGCTTATTCCATGTTAGAGATAGAAATGAAATTGTCTAGTTCTCTCATGAGTTATCTCTTCATACCATTTTGGGGAGCACTGATTCTCTTACTCCTGTTAGTTGTACTGTGATGGTTTGTGTTTTACTGTGATGATAGAAGCTATGCTACTAGTATTTCACATATTGTCAGTATTATCCATGATGAAAAGGTTTCAGTGGAGATGAAGAAAGAGATGGACAATCTTTCTTTTATTCTACTTTTTTTTAATAATTGGCCAGTGAAAACCTTATGTATAGCAGTGTCTTATACAAAACTGAAAAATGAGCCCATTCTGTTTAAAGGCACAATATTACTGAAGAACAACTACTTCTTAAGAGAGTCCTTGGTGACATGGAAGGAGTATAGCTTTTAAGATTTCCATTTGCTTATATGGCAGATGCAAGATGAACAAAAAATTAGAAAATTGGGCATACTGTAAGTTGGATCTAGGAAAATTGGGAGCTGTAAAAAAAAAAAGATACACATAGAAATATCCTAGTCATTAGAGAGCTAAAATGGACTGGTGATGATTATTTCTAATTAGAAAATCATACTGTCTACTATGCTGGGGATTGCAAATCTAAAATAAATGGAATTACATTTATTGCCAAAAAGGACATTTTAAGATCAATCTCAAAATGTAATGCTGTCAATGATAGTTTAATAATCATATGCATACAAGGAAAACCAGTTAATACAACTAACTGTTTTTCCATTTGCACACAGCCATTGAGTCAAAGATGAAGAAATTGAAGATTTCCATCAACTTCTACAAACTGAGATTAATCAAACTTGCTCTAGAACATATAGAAGTTAAAGGGAAGGGAGGAAATGATGAAGCAAGAAACCTGAACAAAATTTTAAAGGGCATATTGAGAAGAGAAAATAACGCATTGTAATGACACATTGGTAACCTGGAGTTAAACAGAAGATGGGAAGTTCTTGAAAAGGCTGAAGAAAAAGACAAACCAGGATTTCCAGTAATATTCAATGGACAAAATATTGAAAGATGAATTGACATAAAAATATCATAGGTTAGTAAAACCTTGCTGAAGATAATTCCAAAAATGTTTTCACCAGGATAGCCATAGGGAACAGTTAGAAAAGTAAGCCAGATTCAGAAGAGGACATGGAATAAGAGGTGTCTGCTACACATTGACTGGAATCAGAAATACCAGAAAGATGTTTACCCTTATTTTATTGACTACACATAGGCATTCAACTGTCTGACTCATTAAAAGTTATGAATAACATTGCAGAGAATGGGAATTCTAGAACAACTGTGCACATGAGAAACAGAACATACTGCTTTGTCTAAAATCAGAAGTGTGTGTCAGGGTTATATCCTTTCACCAGAGGTAATTAATAATCTGTAGGGAGCTGTGGTAGCATAGTGGTTAAAACTGCTGCAATCCCAGAGGCATGCAGTTTGCATGCACCCAGCTGCTCCATGAGAGAAGGATGGGCAATGTCCTGGTCTCACAATTAGATAGGTAGAGTGAGGATGGGTAAAGGAAATGGGAAATCTGGTGTGAAAAACAATGTATGCAAATTTTGTAAATAATCCATCCTTTCTCCAGGTTCATAGGTTTTCTGGAGGTAAGCTATTATGGAAGTGGATGCCACTCCTGCTTCCAAGATTGTTGTAATCTAATCGGGGAGCTCCACTACATGGTTTAAAATTAAGGAGGGAGTGTGTCAGGATTATATTCTTTCTTCATACCTGTTCAGTCTATGTGCTGAGCAAATTATAAAAAAAATCTATACTCTACAAAAAGTAAAGTACCTACTGGCCCAGTGATGACAATTTTTCTTTTCCTTTTGCAGAAATGCAACCAATAGTGAAGTCTGTTACCTTTTTCTTCAAGTATTTAAAATATTTCCTTTGATCAAGAAAAGTTGTGCCATCTGCATAATACAAGTTGATGAGTCTTCTTCCAATCCTAATAAATCCCAACCTCTCAAGTGATTTATATAGCCCAGAGCCTGGGAAGTTGTGGAGAAAGGACACAGCCCTGAAACATGCCTATCTTGATTATAAGCCATGGAGTGTTTCCTTGCTCTAGTCACACAACAACTTCTTGGTCTAGATGTGGCTTCATATGAGTAAGATTAAATGTTCTGGAACTCTCTTTCTTCTCAATGTTAGCCAGGTTTAGTCTGATCCACACAGTTAAATGCTTTTGAATTGTCAATTAAACACAAATTTAGATTCTTCTGGAATTTGCTGCTTTCGGCCAAGATCCAGCTAACATCAACAGTGATATCTCTGCTGCCACAGCCTTTCCCAAACCCAGCTAGAACTTCAGGTGGTTCTTTGTCAATGCACTGTTCTAGCCATTTTTGGATAATCTAAAATGCATTGCTTATTTGTGATAGCATCAATTTTGTTCAACGATTTTCACATTATATGGGATCACCTTTCCTGGGAATGTAAACAAATATAAACATCATCTGTTGGCTAAGTGGTTGTCTTCCAAATTTCCTGGTGCAGACTGCTAAGCATGTCTAGGGCAGCGACTGTTAGTTGAAGCGTGCCAATTAATTTTCCATTGATTCCTAGGACCGTATTTTTTTTGCCAATGCCTTAAAATTATTTTAACTTCTTGTCTCATGATTCTTGGCTCTTTATCATTTGCTAAGTAAATAGGAAGTTATAATTCTTTAATAACAGAACTCCGATGGCCAAGAGGTAGGAGCTGTATTGCCAGCCTGAATCCACAAGATACCCCAATGGAGAAGGATGGACAATCTCCTCCCTCGTGATTTACTGCCACTGAAAACTCCCTAGAGAATCAGCTATGGGTCAGTTCTGATTCAATAGTACACATGAAGAGCTACAACTTTCTAATAGGGAGTTCTGGTGGCCTTGTGGGTTGGGAGTTGAGGAGCCATCCCAAATGACCATTGTTTGAATCCATGAGATGCTCTGCAAGAAAAATGGGCAATCTTCTGTGGGATTTTACCACCGCTGAAAAACCTCTGGAGGCTCAGCTATGAATAAATGACAATGCGTAAGTGACTGAATTTTATAATTGACAAGGAACATAGAATATTTGAACATATTTGCATCATAAAGAACCATGGGAAAATCAGCTATGTTCAAGTGATATTTTTCCCAGTCCACTGAAAACAAGTCATACTTCTCAGAGGAGAAATTCACTTAGAATGAGATTTCGTACTTGTAGCTAATGTTTATGAGAACTATTTTTTTTTTTTTTTTGCAATTTGAATGTTCTTAACATCTCGAGAGAAGTGTGATTTTGATTTCTGCCCCAATAGTTAAGTTTTCTTGGCTCCTCCAAGTATGATTGCTCCAACATAATGTGTTAAAATGAATATTTAGACAATCATTTTATTGAATCTATTTTTTTTCCAAGATTGTGGAAACATCAGCCTTTTTGGCTATATGTGCTTGTATGCCTAGAAACGTTGCAGTGTACACAGGAACTACAGTGTGATCAATATGTATCTGATAAAGAAATGAAAGTTGTTGTGTACCATCAAGTCAGAACCAACCCATAGCTGACTCTCTGGCCGGTTTTTAGAGGCAGTTAACCACTGGGGAAGGGACTGCACATCTTTATTCCATGGACTGTCTTAACTGCAATGAATTTGGTTTCTATTTGGTTATCTAATAATTCTTGTACTGACTCTTGTATTTTATTAGTGAATATTTTATCTGCATTGGTAAATATTGGTAATTATGTCTAGTTGACTTTAATTAATGGTGTAAATAAGTAATGCACTCAGCTGCTAACTGAAAAGTTGCGAGTTTGAGTCCATCCAGGGTGCCTAGAATAAAGCCTAGCAGTCTGCTTTAGAAAAATCAGCCACTGAAAACCCTATGCAGCACAGTTCTGCTCTTAACATAATAGATCAAATGAAGTACTACCTTAAAAACAAAGTACCTGTCCTTTGTTAGCTAAACCTACCCTTTCTCCTCTGTAAATGAATATTCTCATTGCCTTCCTCTTTCTAAGCTTATTAAATAAGGTGATATGTAGAATGTCTGGAGTGTGTCAAATGCTCTTAAGAATGTTTGTTTCCTTCCTTGCCTTTCATTCCAAGAATTTTTTTTTTTGCCATGTACATGTCTCTACCTTTTACATAATAATTCTCAGAGTGTAAACTGAGAGTAAAGTTTTTGTTTGAATTGGCAGAGCCATGTCTGTAAGATGAAATTAATAAAGAAACATCTTTACCTTGAAGGAGGGCCAGGAAGTAGAACTGAGAGCTGAGTGCTAATTTTATTTGACTTGTATTTCCTTTGTTTGATTACAGTACAAAGAAGAAGGTGGCAAAGTAACCAGTTATTGCTACGAGACAATGCCAGGGTGGGTGCATGATGTGCTGGGCCGGAACTGGGCATGTTTCACTGGAAGAAAAGTGGGAACTGCCTCTGAGTCTGTGAGTGTAAACAAGGCACACCCCAAGAGTCTTCAAGAAATGTAAGTTTTAGTATACACATTTATTCATTTTTAGAGCTTTCAAGTTTGATTTATATAACTATGTTACTTCAAAACATAAAATTTTATTGGAAAAAGAGGCCAGCTGAAATAACCGAGAACAGTCCCCCCCAATGCCATTATTGAAAATATTTCACTCTGCCAGGAATCAAAGAAAAGAAATAAAAATCAAAGTTTAATCAAAGGAATCAAATCAAAGTTTGTTGAGGTCCAGATTAGCTTTCAAATAAAAGCCTGGCATATAGTGTGAGCAGTAACACTGAAGAGGTCTTCTTGGAATTAGCAGTTAAATAAAGTCAAGAGAGTAACATTTGCTTTTAGATAAAGCAAAGAAAGCAATATGGGGTAGCACAGAAGAATTGATAGAAATGAGAATCATAGGGAGGAAGTAGGAAATTCGCCATAGTATGGTGGATATTATAATTAATATCACAAAAAATGTGTATGAATATTTGAATGGGAAACCAATTTTCTTTGTAAACTTTCACTCAAATCATAATAAGAAAAATAAAACAAACATCCATAAGGAGTATCTTTTCCCATTATTTGATCATAATTCTTACTATGTTAATATATATTGTACATAGTCTCTCTGTACTCTTCTCCTCCCCTGGCATCCTATTTAATTAACAAGTTTTTAAAATCACATTCTAGAACAAATTTTGATGGGTGACTGTAAGGCGGCAGTCCCATGTCATCACTCAGCAATAGCAATGCTTAGCATTTAAAACTGTATATATTACTTTAAAAAAATACTTTGAGGTTGAGTTTGACTCAGACCCTCCATCAGGTTTCTAAGGCTGCAAATATTTTCAGGAAGGAACTGTAGATTTTCCTCCCTTGGAGTGGATCAGGACTCAAAATTTATTAATTCTGTATAAACATGTTCTGTTTATTTCTTTTTCATGTAGAATAGTAAGAACTCTTTTTTCACATTGCTAAATAATCTTATAGACATTTTTACTGACTGGCATGCAGTTAAATGATGTATTGATACTTATTTAATCAGCCTCTTTTTAAACATATGTGCAGATTGCTTAAGATCTATCATTACTATGAAAGGTTCTTGGATAGAATAACTTTAGACTTATAACTTAGTAGGCTTGAACTTTTCATCAGACACATTGTACTTATATTAGAATTTTTGTTTGAGAAAATACACATTTTTAGTGTTTCAATACACACACACACACACACACACACACAGCGAAATGCCTTCTTAGAAAGAGCAAACCATATACTATTTAGACACCAAGTAAAAGAGTGCCTGGGTTATAAAGTAGAGTACATCAGCTGAGCCCTAGTAGTACTATGGTTAAAATATGTGTCTGCTAACCTAAAGGTTGGTGATTTGAACCCACCAGCCCCCTCTGGTCAAAGAAAGATGTGGCACTCGGGTCTGTGAAGACTTGGAGGCTTGGAAACTCTGTGTTTTGTGCTTCAGATTGCGACACATCAGAATTAGCTCAATAGCTTTGAGTGTTGGTTTAGTTTATTTACATCAGTAGGGGTATATATAAAATTATCTTACTTTTCTTGACAGGTATTCTAACAGGCTTTATAAATATAATCACAACTTTGTGGAAACTATCAATTCCATTCAGAAGTCCTGGACTGCAACCGCATACAAGGAGTATGAAATTCTTACCCTGAGAGATATGATTAGAAGAAGTGGTGGCCACAACCAGAAACTGCCAAGGTAATAAAGTTCATCTCTTTATCACTCATAAATTCCATCTTCTCTTCTAATAGCCCTCAGTGCTACCTGCCATGATGCTTGAAAGTTTTTATGTCCTTTTTATGGTTTTAACTACATTTTCTGCATTTCCTATCCATACATGGGGAACTCTGACTGCCTAGTGGGAGATGCTTGGCTAGCCCACAGGTGCCACCTCTCTGGTGGTTTGAATCCATCAGTGGCTCCATAGGAGAGAAATGGGCATTCTCCTCCTGTTACAGCCTCTGAAAAACTCACTGGAAGGTCAGCTATGAGTTGGTTGCAAAGCAGTATGATTCCACAGCAGAGAGGATCTTGGTAATATTCAGTACACACAGAAAATTCAAATCATATGTTTTGGACTATTTTTACAATATTTTCAATTTGTAGTTTTGAATCAGTGAAGGCAGAATCCACAGCTACTGAGTGCTTAAAGAGATTTCTAGTCCCATGAGATGTGGTGGTCAGGAGAGTTTAAGAAAGGAAGCATAACATTGCCCCTTCTCAAGATCAGAAATGAAAGAATTGGAGTAGTAGAGTAGTAGTACTAGAATAAGATAGGAAGATGAGATGAGCAATAAAATTCTAAATAAAGGTGCATCTAGAGGACTGAGTATTCCATTTGAGTAAACATTTTGATCTTGGTATGATTATGGCCTCTGCTTCAAAATCTGCCCTTCACACAATACTGCTTTTTCATATGCAATGTGTTTCTGAGGAATATTTTGTTTTATTCAACCGCTTTTGTTTGGAGAAGGAAGGTTTTTAACTTTAGAAGATTTGAGTTAATTGGATGAATTTGAATGAAGTAAGAAATTAATCTTAAAGCATGCATTATACTCTGGTTGCCTAGTTCTTATTATCATTCTTATATAAATTAGTTTATATTATAAAAATCTATTGATATACTGTTGTTGTGTGTGTCATAGAGTTGGAACTGACTCATAGCTGAGCCTTTAGCAGGTTTTCGGAGGCAGTAAATTGCAGGGACACAGAGTAGTAGATAGACTTGAACTATGTGCCTTTGGGATTGCTTGTAACTGGATAAATTCTTGAGGTTTTAGGATATTTGTGAAATGATGGAACTATACATCAAATTTAGTGATTTCTATACTTACTTTTGAGATTCACACCTTTGCATGAAAGTCTGATGGCATAGTCCATAGGGAGCTTCCCTGCTAACCCAAAACCCAAAGCTCTCTGTTTCAAATCCACCTGCAGCTCCACAGGAATATGATGGACAATCTCCTCCTTCACAATTTACAGTCTTAGAAGCCCACTGGAGATTCCTCTAAGAGTTCCAACTCAATGGCAGTGAGAAATAGAGTTCAGAGGTTCTATAACGTTCTTCAAAACTCTAAGTCCAAAGATTAAAAGCCACTAACACATAATAAAAGGACCCCTGGTAGTATAGTGCATTGCATGTTGACCTGTTAATCAGTATGTTGGGGTTTTAAAGCCATTACATTTTCCATGGGAGAAATATAGACAACTTCCTCCCAAAAAAAATGTAAAGACTCAAAAACCCAGTGGAGGGTCACCATGACTCAAAACCAAGAGTTGACTGCAGTGAGATTAAATGAATAGTAAAAGGGTCCTCAGTGGAATAGTAATTTAGGTTTGGGGATAAAATCAAATGGTTGGCAATTTGAATCAACCAGTCCTCCTCAAGAAAAAGATAGACAGCCTAAGATTTAGAGCTTCAGAAACCCCATGGAGGGTTGCATGAGTTAGAGTTAACTTGACCACAGTGAATTTAAGCTGTTTATTGCAGGACCATATAACTGAAAGACAAAGCCCTGAAATTGCATCATACTGACAAACTTCAGTCTTGATTTATCTCTTATATTGCCATAAATCTTCCAAAATATATTTCTCCTCTCCTGGAAGACAATTTGAATTTAATATTCTTTACCAACACCAAGACTGAAAGATACCAATTCTTGTTCAGTCTTCCTTGTCTATTATACCTTGTTTGCATAAATGTAAGGTAGTTTAAAATATTGTGGCTTGCATCAGACACCTCTTAGTCCTCAAAGTGGAATCTTTGCTTTTGAAATAGACCCAAAATAGGTCTTTTGCAATAGGTTTGTCCCATGCAATACATCAGCTGATTCCTTTTTTGCTGTTTTTCAGGATATTTCTCGTGTCCAGTTGTGAAGATTTTTATTTATGTTGAGGTATAATCCAAACTAAAGAATTATACCATATTTTAAACTTCCTCTATTAGTGTTCCAAGTGTTCTTTAATTTGACCAAGAAAAGTTGTGTGATCTGCATATCACAGAATGTTAATGAGTCTGATCCTGATGCCAAGTTCTTCATAGAGTTTATCTTTTTAGATTCTTTTTTAGTCCATATATGGATTGAATAAGTATGGGGAAAACCTGTGTCATTATATTTTTTAAAAAAGTACTGGTTGTTGAAAAGGACATGAATAATTTAATCCATTCAGACAGCTTAGGTCCAGACAAATTAAAACACTCAGATCTGTGCTTGTTCAGTCTATTTCTAGATTTCTGTCCAGGTGGTTGTGACAATATGAGATTATGGAACAAGAGGCAAAGAAAAGATTGCATTTATGTCAGACTTTTATGTCAGACTTTTATTTTTATCCTAGGCCCAAACCAGCACCACTGACCACTGAAATACAACAAAAGATCCTACAATTGCCAGAATCTTGGGACTGGAGAAATGTTAACGGAATCAACTATGTCAGCCCTGTTCGTAACCAAGGTAAGACAGGGGTTTTGGTGTTTGTTTGGTTTTTGCTTTTTGCTGATTAATTTTAAAATATTTATTGAACATTTGTTAGGTGTCAAGGTCCTAGATAAATTCTAGGGATGAAGTAATGAAATGGACATAGTCTATTGTTGTTGTTCATTCATTGGCGACAAACAGCAACACCCTGATGGGAGTAAGCACGATGGAGACACACCACTTCGGGAGCCGTTCAGAGAGTTAATCCAGCTCAACTTTATTGGGGGCTGCAGCACACTTATATACTAGCAAGTAAACAGGAAGACAGGATAGGGTGAGCTTGCAGACGTGGGATATGTGGATTGGATAGGAGAACCTCAGCCTCGTGTATACTACCCCCAGCTCAACAGATGCGGCAACCATCTTCCCAGGTGGCAAGCATTCTCAAGTCGGTATGGCCAAACACAGGAGTGCTTTCTCTACCCCATATTAAAGGGTATAGGCTTGCACTTATCCAGAGCTAGATGATCTGTCCTGGCCAGAGGCCCTCCCTCTTCCCCATCATTCCCCAAAAGTCTATTCTAGTAAATGAATGGTAAAGAGAGTACACTATGAATTTCCTTCTTTCTTTTGAATCCTAAGTAGGCATTGGTAATGGATAATCTTGATAACAAAGCTCAGCATTTTCTTAGAGTCTTTTTAAATATTTGATCCAGGTAGTGGACACCATAAAGCATAGTAAAGAGAACAAACATTTACTCACTAAATACACAAGTCATGTGGGAACATTGCAGTAAATAAGCATGCAATATATATTTCTAACTGTGGCTGACTCTGAGAAGAGTGGGAATCCCAGAACACTTGATTGTGCTAATGTGAAATCTATACTTGGACCAGGAGGCAGTCATCAGAACAGAGCAAGGAAACACTGTATGGTTCAAAACTAGGAAGGCTGTACACCAGGGATGTGTCCTATATCCATACCCTTTCAACCTATATGCAGAACAGATTATCCAGGAGGTTGGGCTGTATGAGAAGTGTGGCATCAGGACTGGTGGAAGATTCATCAATAATCTGTCTTATGCTGATGACACAACCCTAATTGCTGAAAGTGAGGAGGACCTGAAGCATTCAATGCAGAAGGTCAAGGACTGCAGCCTTCAATATGGATTGAGGCTCAATATTAAGAAGACAAAGATTCTCACCACTGGGCCAATTGGCAGAACTGTGACTACTGAGATCCTTCTCTTTCTTTTTTATGTAGATAAAATTATAATTTTCTCAGTCTTCAGACATGTTCTTTTCCTATTTGTAGGCATTAAATAATGTATGTCAAAGGGTCAAAGATTGAACACAATGCCTGACAAATTGTTAGCCACTAATAATAGGAGTTATACTATTACGGTTTTTCTTGCATGTTGTTGTTAATATCATCAAATTGGAACTAACTCATAGCTGACACTCCAGTGAGTTTTTGGAGGCAGTAAATCACACAGGAGAAGACTGCCCATCTTTTTTCCATGGAACAACTGGTAGATGTGAACCACATACCTTTAGATTGGCAACATATTTTTGTTAGGCACCATTGAGTTGAGCATGACACATAGCAACCCTATGAACAACAGATCTATACCCTGTTCTATCCTGTGCCATCCTCACAATCTCTGACTTGCTCGAGCCCATTGTTGCTGTCACTTATGTCAGTCAATCTGATTGAAGGTCTTCTTTTTCACTGGCCCTTCACCTCACCTTTCTAACCATGTTGTCCCTTTCCAAGGAATACCATCTCTAGCAATATGCCAAAAGTATGCGAGTCAAAACTATCACCTTTGCATGTAAGAACTACTCTGTCTTTATCTTATCCAAGGTGTCTCTGCTCTTTTGGTACTACATATAGTATTTAGGACTCTTCTCCAACACCAGAGCTCAAAGGCATATTGTTATTGTTGAGTACCAATGAGTCAGAACCGACCCAAAGTGGACTTTCCAGTGAGTTTTCAGAAGCACTAAATCACATTAGATTAGTTTGCCCATCTTTCTTTCATGGAGCAGGTGGTGGATTCTAACCATGTGCCTTTGGGATTGCAGTGCAACTTCTTACTACTAGGCCATCTGAGCTCCCTTAAAGTTTATTGAATTTGGAAAAAAAAACAACCAAAAAAACCCACCAAACCCAAAAAAACACTGGAGAATATATAGCGCTTGTCCTAAAAATTTATGGTTTATTAATATATGCAAACAAAAAAATAAGTACAATATAAGAACTGTTTTAACAAGTTATTTTAGTAGTGAATAGGAGCATTGGAAAAAATAGAAAAAGTTAATTGCACTCACTTACTGAAAGATATCATTGACTAGTGATATGTGACAATAATTTAGGACAAGAAAAATAGGACTACTAATGCCAGCTTCTTTGACATTTGTTTGCTGAAAGTCTGGGTAAAAGCTATTATTATCTCCAATGGTCTGTATTCTTGGGGATTTTATAATATGCTATATACAGAACGACCACTTGGCCAACTGACTGGAAGAGATCGATATTTGTTCCT